CACCGCAGCCTCGACCTGCTGGGCTCCGGCCATCCTTCCACCTCAGCCTTCCAAGTAGCTAGAACTACAGGCACGCGCTACCACGCCCAGCTCTTTGATTTATTGTAGAGATGAGGTCTCGCCAAGTTGCCCAGGCAGGTCTTGAACCCGCAGTCTCAGGCAATCCACTCACCTCAGCCTCCCAAAGCGCAGGATTACAGACTGAGCCACTGACCCCGGCTAAGGATGTCTTGACTGGTAATATGCAGTTCCTAACTAAGGAATTTTGAAAATCAGTACAGGACAGATTGCCTGGGATCTGGGAGTCCCCAGAAGACAGGCTTGTAGGGTCATAAAATATTTTGATTTCCTTCTTTATCTGTTGTGATGTTATACCAGGGTCAGGTTGGAAAACAAACTTCAGTACATAGAGTAATAGGGTAATAAAAATCTCATCTGGGCCGGGCTCGGTGGCTCAGCCTGTAATCCCATGCTTTGGGAGGCTGAGGTGAGTGGATTGCCTGAGCCCGCGGGTTTGAGACCCGCCTGGGCAACTTGGCGAGACCTCATCTCTACAATAAATCAAAAAATCAGCCAGGCGTGGTAGCATGCGCCTGTAGTTCCAGTTACTTGGAAGTCTGAGGTGGAAGGATCGCTGGAGCCCAGCAGGTGAGGCTGTGGTGGCCGGAAGTGGCCACTACATTCCAGTCTGGGCGACAGAGTGAGACTCCAACTCAAAAAAAAAAAAAGAAAAGAAAAAAAGAAATGATTCAAAGCTCTGTAAAAACATTTAGAGTTTATTATATCTTTGACGAGCAGTGTCAGTAGAAGGGAAACAAGAGCCAGACTATAGTATGTTTCAAGAATCAAGGCTGGGCTGAGCATCGTGGTGCACACCTATAATCCCAGCACTTTGGGAGACCAAGGAGGGAGGATTGCTTGAGCCCAGAAGTTGGAGACCAGCCTGGGCAACATAGTGAGATTGCATCTCTACAAAAATTTTAAAAATTATCTGGCTGTTGTGGTGCACAGTTACTTGGGAGGCTGAGGTGGAAGGATCGCCTAAGCTCAGGAAGTAGAGGCTGCGGTGAGCCATGATTCTGTCACTGCAAGGGGGAAAAAAAAAGGAGTCAGGCGCAGAAGAGTCCAGGGTTTTGAGACCAACCTGGACAACACAGCAAGACCTCATCTCTACAATAAATAAAAAAAATTAGCTGGGAATGGTGATGTGCGCCTGTGGTTCCAGCAACTTGGAAGGCTGTGGCAGAAGAATCACCGGAGCCCTGCAGATTGAGGCTGTGGTGACTGTGAGCCTGCCACTGCACTCCAGCCTGGGCGACAGAGTGAAATTCTGACTTAAAAAAAATATTAAAAGCCGGGCTTGGTGGCTCAGCCTGTAATCCCGCGCCTTTGGGAGGCTGAGGTGAGTGGATTGCCTG